CTTACAACTTAAATTAGATAAGTGATAATCAAATATAATAAATTTAATACGAAATGTATTTTATTCAAAAGATCAGTCAATTTTAAATATAATTTCATAAATATTTATTCGAAGTTATATATTTCTGTTATATGCTTCTGTACATACGTATTATACCAATATAATACAATATATTACACTCAATTCTAACTTCCTTTAAGCAACTCAAGCGCCTAGTTTAATATTCAAAGTATTGAGGCGGTTTAGTTTTTTTAAAGTATATGAGGGTCTATTGAACATAGACATAAAATTAAGTATGCGCCTAAAGTAATTGTTCTCTAAAATAACGAATTACTATTGGTTTATTGTACATATATAAAATGATCGGATTGAGCCGGGTCGGGTCGGGTTTTGGACCCGACCCAACCCGACCCGTTATAAAATTTTTTATCGGGCTCGGGTTGGGTTTGAGTGGGCCCGGGTCGGGTTGAAGCAAACCCGACCCAACCCGGCCCGTCCCGCACCCTACTCGCGCATTACGCAATCCCGTGCCTTATTTATTAATTACATCACTAATGTTATACTTAAACTGATTCTTAAACTGATTTAAATTAATCTCATAACTGTGATTTTGATCCCATTAACTGATCAAACAATTAATTCTAATTCCATATTATCACATGGACACGTGTTATAGCGACCGACAATAAGTGACCCAATTCATAATAAATACCAGTTCAAGTTAACTATTGAAGCTAAACCAGGCACCTTATAGTGAAACCGCTCTCCCAACAATAATAACAATATTTACTATGAAAGCTTATATTACTTCAGAATCCTTTTTATGTTTTTTGTTAAGATCTGTTGGTTGGCAAGAACAATCTTCTCCGTAAATTTTCATACAGACTAAACACGCCAAACATGCTGGACATGCATTCAAGCGAGAACTTAATTTGGATGTATTGACATTTTAGTATCGTTTTGAATATAATCTTTCGGCCAATTTTTTTACCAGATGTCCCAAAATTAATGAAAACAACTGTAATAATCGGTGGGGGGTTTTTTTTTTTAAAAAAAAAATTTAACATTTTTATGTATGAAATTTTAAAAAAAAGCCGGGCAGCCGGGTCTGTTTAAAAGTTTCTTGTTACGAAAACCAAGACAATAAACTTGTATAGACTTACTAAGAATGTTTATGGATTTTCTAAGTTTTTGGCTATCGTTATAGAGAATGGTGCCGTATCAATATATGTTAAATTAACAATGTAAAGCCCAATTTGGATAAGTGTTATGTGCTATCGAAACGACTAGAATACTAACTGTATGCATGGTACGAACCGTCGCCAGTTCCAAGTTTTCGGTTCAGGTCCGCGGAGATATCGATACGTATCACAATTATGCAGTTTACGATTGACAAATTTGGAAATTGCATAATAACGGAAAATTTCCGATTAGGCCATACAACCCTTTTTTTTTTTTATATATATGTTACGTATAATAACCGGGTGGGTTTTTTTTCAAAAAATTTCGTACAAATTATATATATAAAATTTGAAAATAAAGCCGAGTCTGTTTTATTTTGTTGGCACTGCCCTGTATATATCACGGTTACATAAAAACATGATATATTTTAATATGTAATGATTATCATTAGCCTACTGTAGGTAATAAATGATACACAAGTTTCAAGTTTTAATACGTAATAAAAGGACCAATGCATAGAAAACAACTTTTTGAAACAAATATGCCTTTTCTAATTTTTAATAAAAAAATTATTCGACCTTTATTCATATTCTTAATTTTATCTGTTATACTTGCTTTATTATTATTTCAAATTTATTTCACAAGATTACAGCGTGACTATAACCCACCATGCAAATCTTATCATCAACTTCACAACATTACATATTCTCAATTATCAACGTACTCACCCGTAAAAATATTTATTGGAATATTCACCACCATAAAAACTTTTGAGAGAAGACAATTACTACGTACTTTGTATCGATATGAGATAAATTCTCGAATATTAAATAATAATAATGAAAATGAAAATGATTTGATAGAGTATAAATTCATATTAGGAAAATCGAATAATTCAGATTTGGAAGAATTAAAATTTAAAATCGAGAGAGAGGCATTTCAGGATATAATTATACTTGATGATGATGAAAATTTGAATGATGGAAAAACTTATTATTATTTTAAATGGGTGACGGAAAATTTAATTAAATCAGAAAATAATAGCATGAAAGAATACGATTACATTGTAAAAACTGATGATGACTCGTTTATAAATCTTAAAAATCTAGCATTAAACCTACGTCCTTTCCCTCAATACACAGAGAACCTTTATTATGGACATATGATAACCATAAACTCTGGATCAGAATTAAAACAGTATGCAACTGGGATGATTGCAGTTTTATCAACAAGATATGCCAAAACTATAGGAAATTTGAAGTTTTCAAAAAAAATTTTAAAAAACCATGCAGAAGATGTGTGGCTCGCTTGGGCATTAATGGTTAATGGAATGAATGACAATTGGATTAGTGAACGATGTTTGATATATGATGATCCTAGACTGATAAGATATGAACCAAGTAAAGGTAAATCAATATTTCCTCAAACAGTGACCATTCACAATTTGAAAGAAGACTGGAAATGGAATGACATAATTGAATATTTTTATAGTGTTGAAAACTAGTTAGGTAAAATGAAAACCATCATACAGTATAGTACAATAACATTAAACTCCGAATAAATATATTTTTTTACATTGATCTCCAAGTCTAAGAATATTTTTAACCATTATAGGGTCGTTCACCGACAGCTATTTCGGATCCGTATCATTTCACCGACAATCATTTCATCGACAGCTCATTTAGCCAACATCACGCCAAGTGACAATTTACTAAAAATATATACCTGAAACTAATAAAACCCTA